AATACGCGCTCATTTTTTAACTATATTTGAATAAACAAGTTGATGTTGTTTTCAACCTGAGCCAAATTAAAATGTAAATACAACTGCGTCTTACGTTTGACAGATTACTTCACGACATTTAAGAAAACGCTCAGTGTTCCCGCGCCGTCTTAGAGTAATCACCACTGTCACGGCTTTATTAATTATGGAGAAAATGCTGTGAGCGCCAACATTCTGAACTTTGAACGAGGATCTGTAATAAATGATTTACGCAGTCGCTCAGAACTTTCACTGCTTATCAGATTTACTGAAAAACAGTGGCGTCTCGATCGAGGACGTATTTTTTCCCGATGTGCTGACTTGCAGATCTCGCTGTGCTTTTATTAAGAGCACAGTTAGCCCTCGGTCTGTGCTGCATCACCACCCTGGCACAGGCGGACAGACGTAAATATGAGCTATTTTCAAATAACCGTAAATCAGCCAGGGTCCCAGTCACTGTCACAGAGATAAAGTTCCTAGTTCATTCCTGATACATCTAACATTGTATTTGTTATTTATTTATGTCCTGAATTTGGTGCTAAATCATTTTTTTTACTGGGGTCAGTCCTTTGATGTAAATGACAGAGTGTCTTTCTTTCTTGACCAGTTGACTGATAAACTGAGCTCAGTCCAGCTGCAGAAACTGTTGCTGCGTCAATGAAAACTGATTTGATAAGACGCAAAAATGATGTCTGGAGATATTTACTTTTAAATAACTGGGCATCATTCTATCACCAAAAAAATATTTTGCTGACCCCAAACTGTGGCCCGCGGACCTACACAGGCCCGCGGACCATTGTTTGAGAACTACCATACTACACAGCACATATAATGTTAAAAATCAAGACTGTTTTTCTTACATTGAAATGAACGGTCCTGACTCAAAACTTTCTTGAGACGTCGACCTATTAGCCAGCTAGCAAGCTAGGTAGAAAGATGTTCCCCCCCCAACCCTAAAGGGGTAGAGGGACCCCTGCTTGAAAACCACTGAAGTGCACACAGAACATTTAATGGTTGGAAATATGGACAATAATTTTATAGATATTTCTTCTTCAAATGTTCTTATTTATTTGCTTAGTTCTGTCCTGTATTTGCTGCTACATA